TTGCTGTAGGGCATGTGTACTTACCAGAGGAAAGCACCAGTTAGATCTAGATCAGCCCCTGAATGGTCTCTAGGTAATGTCCCATCAGAAAATAGAGAGATGGTTGCAGCGGGACTTTGGGCCAGAGCCCACCCTCACTGGCAGCCAATACCCATAGATGGGTGATAACGTCACAGTGGCAAGTAAGCTAATCAAAGCACCCAGTATTCTTGTGACCCTGCCCCTCCACCCCTCCCATATAAATACATCATGTCTCCTTAACTCTCTCAATAAACTTTCCTTTTTCTCTTGAGTCTTACTCCAAAACCTAACAACCCTGGGGGAGGGGAACAGGGGGACGGCCCTGCTGCAACCCCTTCTCCTCCACTCTCAGCATTAGGGCCCACTGGGTCCAGGACTCAAACTGCTCAGTCAGCCATGCGGATCCAGCACTTTAACCTCCATGCCACCTGCTGGCCCATCCATGGTCAGTATTTTCATGTGGACAGTTTTTGTGCATACTTGGGAAGAGTAATATACTAATAATGGCATGACTGCTCATAACCATGAAAGATTATAGAATGCTGCTATAGCAAGCATGCAAATCTGAGAGGAGACTAACTGGAAGAGGTGACAACTGAATTGAGCTTTCTCAAGGGAGAGTGACATCAAGCAGAAGCGTGGGGTTAGGTAGCAATCTGGGCAGGCGGGACTGGAGTGTGAGCAGGGGTCAAGGCCATCCAGGGAACCCTGAGAAGGATGAGTCTGTTTGGAAGACTGGCTGGGCAAAGCCTTAGAGGCAGGGCTCAGAGATAGGAATCCTTCCACAACTAAAGAGGTCTTGAAGAAGAAGTACAAGGATAGGCTCTTAAATAGGATTCTTAACTGCCTGTGTGGGGAAAGGATTAGTCTAACAAGTTGTTTTTACAAGATCAGCATCTTGTCCAATACATCAGTAACTTCCCAAAGGGCAGGGAGGACGGGACTAAAGGAAATCTTTGGAGGGTGAAAGAGTAAAAAAAGACAATGAGCCAATATTTTAAAACTTATTTTATAATTTATATTTTAGTCTTCATAGATTGGTAGGGATAAAAACTTTGCACTTCTCCAAAAAAAAAACTCATATCAGAAATGAGGTTTGGGACCAGCGGGTGGCATGGTGGTTGAGACGCTGGACACTCCCACATGGCTGACCACGGTTCGAGTCCTGGACGTGGTGGCTTGCTTTCTCACATTCTCTTTCTCTCTCTGTGTCTCTCTCTGGCCAAATTAAAATAAATGAATGAATAAATAAAATTAAATAAAATAATTCTTAAAAAAATTGTTGAATTAGAGCTGATCCATTAATTCCACAAAATATTTTAAAATGTCAAATGCCTATTTTGTGTTAGGTTTAAAATATTCACCTGAGACTTTCTAGTTTAGTGAAGGAGGCAGGTAATAAACACACAATCACTAAAAAAAAAATGTAAATAAAAATTGCCTTTCTTGCTTTCTCTCTCTCTGTCTGTCTGGTGAGCGCACACGCCCTATAGCAAAAACCTCTTCAAAAAAAAAAAAAGAAATGAGGTTTGAGGAGGAGCATTAAATATTCATATTTAACAAAAGAGAACATACATTTTTAAACCTTGAGAGTGCTGCATTAGACATTGAACTTAATGACAGTTTGGAATGTACCTGTTTTCTCACTATATCCCTAATAAATTGACAATAAATATTAAGGGACTAATAAGATACACGGGACTAGCAGTTAGCATAGTGACTATGTCGCTGAACTCCGATGTAGTCGAGCGTAGTTCGAGTGCCGGACCCGGTGACTTAAACTCACACCGGGCGCGTGTGGGCACGTGCACGATCCCAAGAGGAGAATGAAGGAGAAGGGATTGCTGCGTGGCCATCCCCCGGGGGGGTGATTTCTAGCTTTCTGTCTCTGTCTGGCAATTACACACGCCTTATAGCAAAAACCTCTTCAAATGAAAAAAAAAATTTAAAAAGAAGACACACTGTGCTAACAGAAAGGAGAAGTCTCAATGGCACTAAGAAAAGGGCTAAATGACATTAAGAAAAGCAAAGTCCCACAAGTATTCTCTAGACAAACAGACTTGATAATGGAGCAGGCGAAGGTCAACAGACCCCTCCAAAGCCTTGAGAGTGTCCCCAAGGACTAACTAGCCTTCTCACCAATTCCAGTACGAGGTGGATACCCAAGAGTAAAGAAAACATAATCCTCATAAAAACTAGTTCAGGGAACCAGCAGTTAGCGTAATGGCTATGTCGCTGGACTCCCACGTAGTCGACCACGGTTCGCGTCCCGGACCCGGTGGCTTAAAACTCACGCCGGGCGCGTGTGCATGCGTGCCCAAGATCCCGAGAGGAGAATGGAGGAGAAGGGATTGCGGCGTGACCATCCCCCCTGGGGGGTGATTTCTCGCTTTCTGTCTCTATGTCTCTCTCTGTCTGGCGAGCGCACGCGCCCTACAGTGAAAATCTCTCCAAAAAAAAAAAAAACTAGTTCATAAATGTTCATACCAACATTATTTGTAACAGCATTATTTGTAACAGCAAAAACCTACAAACCAAGTATCCATCAACTGATTAATGAATAAACAAAGTGTAAGGCCAGCTGGTGGCGTGAGAGTTGAGGTGGCTAGATACCACATGGCCCACTGTGTGGTTTGAATACTAGATCTGGTGGCTTGTAAAATGAGCCAGGCACCTGTGCATGCATGTATGCCCAAAATCCCAAGGAGAATGAAGGAAAAGGAATTACTGAATGGCCATTCCCCTTGAGGGGTGCTTTCTCAGTTTCTCTCTCCCCCCACCCCTTCCTTCCACGCAGTCTCACACAGGCACCCCACAGCACAAATAAAGAATTTTTTTAAAAAAGAAAGAAAAACAATACATAGTCACACAATGAACTATTATGCAGCCATTAAAAAGGAATTTAGAACAGATACAGCAGCAACATGAACGAACCTTGAAAACATTGTGCTAAGTAAAAGAAGCCCGTCAAAAGAGCACAAAATGTATGATTCTATTTATATGAAACATTCTTTTTTTTTTTTGAGACAAAAATCAGATTAAGGGTTGCCTAGCACCAGAGGGAGAGGGAGTTAAAGGGAAATGGGCAACGACTGCTACTGGGAACAAGGTTTCTTTTCCAAGCGATAAAACTACTCTAAAATTGATTGTGGCTGACGGTTGCACAATATGCATATACCAAAAGCCATTGGATTTTAAATGGGTGAACTGTGTATCTCAATAAAAGAGAAAGGACTGCTCCTCGGGCAATATGGTAGATTACTGGAAATACCACAAGGGGGGCGGAGAACAGAACCTGTCCTCAAGGCTCTGACATTCTACAAGGGAAGAAGAGTCAATGGAGAGTTGATGGTAAAACAGTGAGAAAAGGAAAGGATTCAGACTGTACCCCAGGTACCCCTAACCCAGCCTTGGTTGATCTGGTGAAGATGTTCATTCGAGAACTAGATTTTACCAGATTCTCATCCATAAAGTGAATTTAAATCCAAGTTACTTTCTGTGTTTTTTTTTTTTAGTACTTGTTAAGTTTCTAAAAATATTCTCATAGAATGGTTAATGGTGTTTTTTGAATTTATATATAATGTTTAAATATTTTTAACTTTAGAAAAGCAATCAATCTGTTACTAAAATCAAACAAGTCTCTAATATAAATGTGATTGTATTAATGAGTTTTCCAGGCTCTGTAAAACTTCATGTACAAACTTTTTTAACACTAAAATTAGGAGGAAGAAGGCCTTAAAAACCCGGACCACCGTGTGATATATTACAAAATAAAACAAGGGAGGCTGTTAGGAGACTAGCAAAGTGGGAAAACTTGAGTGATGATCGATAGCGCAAAAAAGAATAGAAAGCTACGTAGTAAAAATGGACCTTTAAAGCCACTAATTTTCAACCACAACACTTCGAAATTACCATGTAAGTAACCGTTCCCAAAGGAACAGTGAAGTCTAGTTTTCCGAGGTTAAAATTTTTCAAATACCGCAAAGTCTAGTAGGTTTTAGGCAAAGTTCGGTGGGAAGTGAAGAGGACCAAGACTACCACAAACTTTCCGCGGTAGACGCGTGAATCAACCGCAGTTCTAAGCTACACTTGCGAAGCGGGGGCTTGATAAATCATCTGGCCGGCTTAATTAAGTGCAATGGAGTTATCCCCGTCTTCTCCGGGAGGAGACACCTTAAGAAACCCCTCAATCAAAGCCCTCCAGAGCAGGCAGGCACTAAGCAGCTGAAAGAAAGACAGGCTCGGAGTCCACGCGTAAAGTATCCGAATCGAGCCGTGTTTGTTCCCCTAGCTGAACACGGAGGAAAACCCCAAGCTCGGACAAGGCGCTCGGCCTTCCTGGCTGGCCCCTTCACATCCTCACTTCACGCCACGTCCTGTGCCTAATAGTCCCTGCGCCCCGATCCAACTCGCATTTATTAAGCACCCACTGTCTACACCGCACGGTGGCTCCTCCAGGCACTGCAGGAAGAAATGGCCCCACGCTGGAGCAAAGAAATACTAAACCGGCAGCCGCGAGGACCGAGGACGAACCCGAGCGAGGGGCTGGCTGCCTGCGACCCGCAGTCAAGAAAGGAGTCCCCACCCTCACCCCGCGAGTCGTGACAGTCCCAGGGAACCGAGGGCCCCAAGGGGCGCACCAGGCCCCGCTTCCCAGGAGTGCGCCGCAGCCCTGGCGGGGAGCAGAAAGGAAAGGAGTCCGCAACCCCGGACCACCCGCGCGCTCCCCTGCCCCGAGAAGTGCGACCCCGACTCTGACTCCCGAGAGAACGGCGAGTACCGAGACAACCCTCGGAAGGGCCGGAGCGGACTGTCGCCGGCTCCCACCTCCCTCCCCTGCGACTGTGGCTGGCTGCCCCCTCCCCAACATGACAGTCGTGGCAGTAGTGGACCGAGCGTCCCGGCCCCGGCGCAGCGCCAGGAAGACCGCCCGGCCCCTCCCCCCGCCCCATCCCCGGGACTCCGGGGAAAACGGTTACCTGCGCGCGGGCGGGTGAGGACACGACCCGGAGGGAGAGGATGAGGAGGATGACGGGGGCCTCTGGCCCAAGGAGGTTTGGGAAATTTGGGAGACTTGTTCCGCACTGGGTGACAGCTGTTCGGTGCGCACGCGCACGGGGCTTCTGTCGCCCGATCACTCCGCCACTCCTCTGGGGAAGGTGGGAGGCCGCGGCGGAGGTGCGCGCACTGCGCGGGCGGCCGCTCCGCGCTCGAGGGCGCGCGCGCCGTCACGTGACCGCTGGGGGCCCGGCACGGAGGAGTCACGTGAACTTCCACACAGCTTAAAGGTGCCCCGCGCCTTCTCGCTTTAGGCTCAGTCTTCCGCGCTGTCCGCAGGCTATCGTTGCTGTCGCGCATCCTCTAGTTCCCTAGAGAATGGCATGCCCCCGTTCTCCCAGAGCGGGGACAGACTTGAGCAGAAGGAAGGAACAGGTGCGCAGAGCCGTGCCCGGAAGCGCCTGCCCGGCTCCCTCAGGGCTGGACCTGATGTAGTCCACGCGCCACACGTCGTCCTGGGCTCCGACGCGGGCCTATGGCGGCCTCCGGCGCGCGGACGTCAGAGTGGCGTTGCCATGGGTGGGGCCTCCGATTGCCCCGCAGAGCCTGGCAGGAGGTCCGGGCTCCGCGCCGGTCGGCCGTGACAGCGTCCTGTGCCCGCTCTCCCTTCACCCGGCGGCTGGGCCCTCTTCCCACGAGGGAGTATCCTAGGTGGGCTCAGCGTCCTGGCGTCCCGAGCCTCTAACACCTCGCGCAGGAGGCAGCGTTGTTAGCCTCCGGAAGCGAAACTGCCCCATATTTGAATCACACGCGGAGCACGTCCCGCGCAGCACAGGTGTGCGCTTAAGATGCGGAGGCCTGATAGGAATCCCGGCTAGAGATGACCGCAGTTGGCCCTAGTTAGTACCGAAAGCACAGGTGCCTCGGAGGCCCCAGCGAACTTAGATAAGTTAGTTACCACTTGTTGCTCCTGCTCTGTAACTTCGCCTCACCAGATGGTTTGTTTGAAAAGCTGAACTTTTTTTCTTTTTTTACTTCTTCAGTTACAGGCTGGGTCCCTTGAGGCAATTCCCCTGAAGACTTCTCAGCTGAGAAAGATTGGGCAGACCTTTAACACCAGTGAGCAACCTGTACTAATATGCTGAGTTTTCTGTTACAATATACTGATCTCAGCTTTGAAAAAAAAATATGTCTGCGGTCCACTTAGTATAGCCTTGAACTCTAGTATTGTGCAGACAGAGGGAATATGGTTAATTAAAATAAAGCTAATGGGGGCAGGGGGACTATCAGATGACGTACCGGTTATGTCACTGGACTCCCCCGTGGTCAATTATGGTCCAAATCTCAGACTCGACCTGGTGGCTTAAAACTCAAACTCGGTGGGGCTGGCAGGTGGTGTGGCGCTGGATTCCTACATGGCCTACTGTCGTTCAAGTCCTGAACCTGGTGGCTTGCTTTCTCACTTTCCCTTTCTCTCTTTGCTCAAATTTTTAAAATAACAACAACAAATGGAAATAAATCTTAAAAAAAAAAAAAAAAAAAAGTTGGGCATGTATGCCTGTGTGCCTAAGATCCCAGGAGGAGAATGGAAGAGAAGGGATTGTGGTGTGGCCATTCCCTAACCCCCCACCCCCGTATTTATCTCTTTCTCTGTCTCTCTGGCAGGCGCCCATGCCCTATTATAAAAATCTCTCTTAAAAAAAAAAAAAGAATCTATCTGTTGTATTAGACTAGAAACCCAGTGCACTGAAATAAAGGCAGGAAACCTGAACTCCATTCCCTTCACAACTGGCAGATGCAAATTATTGCACAAATTACATGCATTTTTTTGGCCAGTAGGTGGCGTGATGGTTAAGGCGCTAGACACCCACATGGCCAACTGTGCTTCAAGTTCCAGACCTGGACCCAGATCCAGACTAGTGACTTAAAACTCAGGCTGAGCTTGTGTGCCTGTGTGCCCAAGATCCTAGGACGACAGTGAAGGAGAAAGGATTGTGGCGTGGCCATCCTCCCTGGGGAGTGATTTCTCACTTTCTCTGTCTCTCTCTCACTCTCTCTGGGAACTCAACACACCCTAATGCAAAAACCTCCACCAAAAAAAAAGAAACAAAGCTAATGGTGTTACTGGGCCATTATAGTTCTTTAGCTATTAAGGTAAAAAGAAAGTGGGGGAGGGGAAAGACAGAAAGTGGCACAGATAAAACACAATGTTCTGCAAGGGTGACCTACAAGAGAAGGTTCTGGGTTTAACTCTGGAGAACTCCCCAACTACCAGGCACTCACAGACAACACACTTGGGGTGGAGCATAGTGTGAGAACCCCCTTGGAAGCGCTGTCTCTCTCTTGCTTGTGGAAAAAATAAAGTGGAAGGTAGTGTAGGCACACACACTTGTGAACTTTTGTAACAACACATGTACTTAACTGGGAATGTTTCCAAATATGTATACTGTGAGACTCCTAAATCTCCCTACAAGTCAACTGGACGTGCTAAAGTGTTCAATAGGTAGCAACATTTATTTAGAGCTTGTAGTGAACTAGACAGTGTCCTAAGAGCTTCACATTATCAGCTAAATACTTAGACTAATTCAATGAATAGGAGCCATTATTAACTTGTTACAGATGTGAAAACTTAAGCATAGCAATTAAGAAATATGCCCACCCTAAGCAAGTGAAAATCAAAGTTCTTAAGAATCCATATGCTGTATTAGAATTGGAGCCCAGTGCCCTGAAAGTCTGGAAACCTAAACTCAATTCCCTTTACAACTTGCAGATGTACCATATTGCACAAATAACATTCATTTTTGCGCTAGCGGGTGGTGTGGTGGTTAAGGTGCTGGGCTCCCACATGGTCAACAATGGTTCAAGTCCCAGATTTGGCAGCTTGGTTTCTCACTTTCTTTTTTTTTACTCTCCGGTGAGCATGCGTGCCCTATAGCAAATTAAAATAATAATAAAATTAAATTATTCTTTTAAAAAATTGTTTTTAACATGGTAGACTCTCCTTTTCTTTTTAAACGGAAGAAATAGGGTGACATACCAACCTGTTGACTTCACTGAACATTTTTAAAAAATCACAGATCATGCAAAATAAAATAAAAAAAAAAAACTGGAACCAGCAATGGCATCATGATTATATCACTGTACTCCCATGTAGTCGATCACAGTTTGAGTCCTAGCCTCTTGGCTTAAAACTCATGCCAGGCATGTGTACGTGCATGCCCAAAATCCCAAGAGGAGAATGAAGGAGAAGGGATTGTGACGTGGCCATCACCTCTGAGAGGCGATTTCTCATTTTTGTTTCTCTGTCTCTTTAGCAAATGCACGTGCCCCATAACAAAAATCTCTCTTTAAAAAAAATGGGGGGAGACAAGGAAAAATAAATAAATGGGGGACCAGCAGTTAGCATAATGGCTATGTTGCTGAACTCCCATGTAGTCGACCACAGTTCAAGTCCTGGACCTGGTGGACTAAACTCATGCTGGGCATGTGTGCGTGTGTGCCCAAGATCCCAGAGGAGACTGGAGAAGGGACTGAGGCATGACCCATCCCCCCTGGGGGGGTGATTTCTCGCTTTCCGTCTCTCTGTCTGTCTGTCTGGCGAGCGCACGCACCCTGTAGCAAAAACCTCTCAAAAAAAGGTTAAAAAAACTTCAAAACTGCTGAAGTGGACCGACTAGAAAATCAACTGCACCCATGACACAGGGCAGTATTGTGTCCCTAGTGTACCAAAATGCCTCCTTACTGTGAGTTACAATGAAAGTTAACATTTTAGCCATACAGTGGGATAATTTATTTAGATTTGATGGAAAACCCAAATAGCAGTAAGGTGAAGGCTATATAGTAGGATACATAGATTTTCCTTGAGATATGTATAATGAGAAATACTGTCCATTAAATGTCATATAACATTTTCAGTGTTTTGAAGTAGGTCTGATTTAAACCATTCTATGCAGGAGACTTATTAATTAATTCACTCATTTAATGTAGTCAAATATGCTAAGAAATAGTACTTGGGTATGAATTGTAGAAAGGAATGGTCTTTTTTTTAAAAGAGATTTTTGTTATAGGGCACATGTGCCCACTGGAAAGACAGAAAGTGAGAAGACACCCCCCCCCCAAGGGAATGGCAACACTGCCATATCTTCTTCATTCTCCCCTAGGGATTTTGTTTCTCTGTCTCTTTAGCAAACTCACACGCACACCTGCCGGTTGTGAGTTTCAAGCCTCTGGTTCAGGACACAAATGGTAGTCGGCCACATAGGAGTCCAGCGCCTTAACACCTACACCACCTGCTGGCTCCAGGACGTGGTCTGTTAGTGAAGAAATTATTGTGACCTTCAAGACAAACTCTATTGGTTTTTGCTGCAGGCGCACATTTTATTCACCTATGTATAATTTCACTGTAGCATAATTATTATTTTAAATTTTAAAAATTGTGTTGGGGGCCAGCAGGTGGTGTGGTGGTTAAGGTACTAAACATTCTCACATGGCTGACCAAAGTTCGAGTCCCGGATCTGGTGGCTTGCTTTCTCACTCCCCCCCATCCACCCATGCCTCTCTTTCTCTGACCAAATTTAAATAAATAAATGAATAAATAAAATTGAATAGATAATCCTTTTTTTTTTTTTTTTTGGACAGGTTCTTGCTTTAGGGCATGCGTGGTTGCCAGAAAGACAGAGACAGACAGAAAGACAGAAGGCGAGAAATCACCCCCCAGGAGGGATGGCCATGCCACATTCCCTTCTCCTCCATTCTCCTCCTGGGATCCTAGGCATGCATGCACATGCACCCAGCATGCATTTAAGCCACCAGGTCAGGAACTCGAACAGTGGTCAACTACATGGGAGTCCAGCGACATAGCCATTACACTATCTGCTGGTCCCGAATAAATAATTCTTTTGAAAAATTTTTTAATTGTGTTCAGGCACGTACACTTCCAGAGAGGGAAAGTCAGAGATAGTGAGAAGGAAAGTGAGAAATTACACACTCACACACACACACCCCAGCAGGGGGACCGCCATGCCATAGTCTCTTCTCCTTTCTCTTCCTGGGATCTTGGGCACACACACAACATGCCTGATGTGATTTTCAAGCCACTGGATCTGGGTTGGCCATATGGGATTCCAGCAACAAAACCACTATGCCACC